GTCATTATATATGCCATTTCTAACCAATCATTAAATCTTTTTTTTTTTTTTTTTTATCTCGCCTCTTAGATGTAAAAAAGATTCATCATTATTTCTATAATCAATAGCATTTCCAAGTAATGAAATAAACAAATTCAATAAATAAATAGTTGTAAAAAATGAGAATATAACTAATAAAAAGGCTAATGTCCATTTATTTTTTAAAGTCCATGAGGAAACATAACTTGAATCGCCTAAAATAAAATATAAAATTAATATTTTTTTTTATTAAATTTTGATTAATAAATTATTGCACACTATAATACCTGTTAACATAAAATATACGGCCAAAATTGAAGTACTAAACATTGTAAACAAATTTGTGCTATCATCTGGAGTTTGATAATTGTTGATTTTCCAGCAATACCATTAGATGAAATAAATTGATATGTTGGAACTAGGTTCCAAGGGTTATTAGCATCATTAGTAAAGCTTGGCTGATCGTAAGAATATTCACTATTAGGCCTTAATAAAAGATGTAAAGAGTGGGCAAAAGCTAAAACTATAATTCCTAAAACAACAAGAAAAGAGAAAACTTTTTGTGCTACTCCAATCATAATTGCAAAATAGGTTCCAAAATAATCTAAAACACGGAAAAATAATAAAAATTTAATTTCAAGTAAAAAGGCAGCGATAGTTATAATCCAAATTGGTGGGGTTACATCATGTAACCATATTAATGAAGTTATTGTAGGAACCAATATTGCATTAAGATCTATAATTATATTTAAATTATTAATTGTATATCACAGTCAGTTATAAAATCGATATATATTGTACATACCAAACCAATTCCAAGGACTAGCAATATATGCTATTGATTTATGAATAAATTGACGAATTTCAAAAATAAAATGGATAAATCCAAATGAAATAGTTGCAACCAAAAGAATCACTTGACTATTCCAAGAAATTTGATGCACCGGAATTGTTGAAACAATTAAAAAACAGCACATAAAAATCGAATATATTGCCCATGTTATGAAATAATAAAATCTTCCATAGGTGTTCCATTTGAAGTTGATAAGCGCCTTAATATGCCACCATTTATAATAATCAGGGGTATCCAGCAATGAGGTAAAAGGATTGCCTTGTAAATAAAATAATTCACTATAAGAATAATTTTTGGGATATGTAGCAAAATTTAATAACGGAAATATTAAAGTTACTGTTTCTTGAGGATATATAGTAATGTAAGATGAATAAAGTAAATAAGAAAATGCTAAATTTCATAAACTTGTGGATAAGATTCTTTTAAAAGGCTACATTTTTTAGAAATCCAGAAATACAACTGATTGAAAGATGAAGTATTAATTAAACCATGTGAATTAACATAAATTCCGCAATGTTGAAGATTAAATAATAAAGTATCCTCCTTTTCATGATAATAATCAGATTCAATATGACCAATTAGCATATTGGTCTTAGATAAAAATTCTTCTGTAAATCTTTTATTTTTATTAGATTTTTCCAACTTTGTTAATGTAAAAGCAATTTGGCCTGTTACATTATATAACTATAAATATCACGGCTCTCAAGTATTGATGACAAACTATAATTATTATAACAATAAGTGAGTAATTCATCAATCTTTTCTGATTCTTTCTGTGAATTCCTTAACATAAATTCAATTATATCTTTTCCATACAATTTTAATAATGTTGAATTTTTATATTTAAATTCATTAGGAAATCCAATTTCATCAAACACACGGTGAAATAGCGATGGTAAGATTTCGAAGTCAGATTTGTAAAAATTCAAATTCAAATTATTTTTAAATAAAGTAAGAAGTTTCTTTAGTCTAATTATGGAATCTTTTGGTGTTTTTGCGCTTTCATCTTTATACTCAAATTTATCGCTCCAGCAATAAATTAATTCTCCATTAAAATTTTCTTTAGAATTGTTTACTAATTTTATTGTATATATTTGAATGCAAGTAGGAAAAACCAACAACATGTCACCATTTTCGAGCACTGTTCCTTCATAAATTCTATGAAATGAATAAAAATATTCTATATCTTTTATAACATCACCTTTATCAGACTCAATTTTGGCTTTGAACTGTATTCTCCACCCATAATAAACTTGTTCATGTTCAATAATCCAAGTGCATAGCTCATCACTGTATACTTCTGGTTCATTTGAGTAATTTTGAGCTAAATTTTTGTCTGATTCGTACTCTTTATCATCATACTTATCTAAAATCTTTTGTATAAATTCCTTAATCTCTTTAACATTTAAATATGTATCATAATATTTATCATTATGTTTTAAATATTCTATCCAAATGTCATTTTGAGACAATCTTTGAATCGACAAATAATTATTTTTTTTTATTATATAATCACCTATAATATCATAATGTGTAATATCAATAGGGCCAATCGATTTATCGTTAAATGCAGCATTATAAATATCATATAAGACATGATTGTCAGGAGACTTATCGAGAGAGAATTGGTGTAGATTCAGTATATAATTATTATAACTTTTTTCATTTCCTGATCCAAGTGAGCCAGAAAAAAACAACCGTTCTTCTCCTGATCCAATAAAACAGAAATTATGCAACACCTCGTCAAAAATTTCTAAATTTGACAAATAAATTAATAACCTTGATATTAATATTTATATTATTTATATTAATTTTATATAAAATACCTACTATTTGCTACCATTACACCAGATTTGGTCAAATATATATGGACTATACTTTTACCACCTACACAAACAGCAATTGCTAACAATGTGTTATCACTATTCAGTTCAATTCGTAATGACCAAAACCACCCAGGGACAAAATCCCAATTTAGTATGTATTGCATATCAAACTTTCGATTTATCAAACTTTCGATTTATCAAGTCCCATTGCGTAACTACAAAGGGCATGCTGAAGCCCGCAAACAACTTTCCTTTTTTGGAAATACGGGATGACGTTGGATGACATTTTTCGAGTTCAATACTATTTTTGCTAGTCCATTTATGTTTTCCACTAGAGTTTGATTCTGAAAAGATATAGCCTCGATAAACTGGTTCGCCTTTGATAATTACTAGATCTCCATTTTCTAGAAAGGCAATAATACTATCATCATATCTAACGGTACTTTCTTCTAAACCTTGGACACACAATATTTGTCTTAATTTAGTTGTGATGTCAATAATTGCTGTTAAAATAAACTTTATTAATATGAAATAAAATTAAAATTCAACGATAACTTAATTTAACTAACCAAAATCATTTTCAAAATTATCATTTAATTTTATTATGACATGTTTACAATCTGAGATTCCTTCTAACCTATCGAAAGACGAATTATCTTCAAATAGACTTTCGAACTTAAAATCAACGTTTTTACAAAAATTATCGGCGGTTAGAGCACGTTCAAGATCATTGACGTTTAATAAACAGTCGTATTTGACAATAAGATCTTTTGTAAAGGTCTTTGTAACGATCCATACAACAATTGATTTATCTTCTTCACTTAAAGTCGCTATACATTCCATGTTTGGTGATGCTACATATTTATCTATTTTTTTTCCTCTGTGCGGAACATCATTCGGAACATCATCTATCAAAATCTCTGTTTGACCCTGATCTTTAGATTTTGATAAACTCATTTTAGGTAAGTTCGAATGATAATATTAAAGTCAAGATAAAATTTGAACCAATTTTATATATTTGTATTGAAAAAATTTTTACAGTTTACAAAACAATTAAAAAAACAATTAAGCTTGTTTATTCAAGTTTTTCAATAACAGTAAATATTTTTATGCAGCCTCTTGGCTTAAAAAAACTAAATACTACACAAAGGACCCTTTATTGTAATTATTATCGTTATCCTCTGTATGAGGTTTAACAGACAAAAGACCCTGATTGGATGTGTGCACGTATTACAGTATTTTAATTAGTACATCAAATTTTTCTGGTTAATTATTTGCATCCGTATGACATATTTACTTCAAAATATGTGATCCATAAATCCATTTTTTTTTTAACATATAAGCATATAAACGTGTGGCATATTTAATTCCTTGAATCGGAATTTTAAAAATAGAAGCAAGTTCTTTTAAACTATTTACAAAAAAGGTAATTCTAAAACCCCATTGTAAACAATTGAAATTTAACAGAAATTTACATATAAATCAAAATTTTTACTTTTCTGCGCCTATGTAAAGTTGTTCAAAACATTTAAATATGCAAATTCTGAAAGTTTTTCGCAATTTGAACCAAAGTTTTGTTAATTCTAAAAATAAGCTACCCGTAAGATTTTTGCCAAAAAAGAGTATCTTATACAATGTTATCAAGATTAGGGATGGGAAAATCGAATTTTTCGAATCTACTGCGCAGGCTGCATTACAGCTAATGCGGGCCAAAATTGTTAAATTCTGCGTTATTACGAAAAATTCCGGGCTTCCGAAAAATTCCGCCTGCGCAGTGTCCCATCCCTAATCAAGATCACATGATCAAGTTTTGGGGTTACTCAACGTGCAACTGCATAAATATCACTTTTACATAAAGTCCGTTATAAATTTTACAATTCAAAATGAAATCCTTACCAAACGAATGCCTTATTGAAATATTTAATAATCTTAAAAATTATGATAGATACTTGTTTTCATGCCTTCTTGTAAACCGGCGATGGTGTAGAATTATTGTTCCAATATTATGGAATGAACCATTAATGCGTTGCTACGATAAAAACCTTATGAGAATATACCTTTTATCATTGAATGAGGAAGAAAAAGCACCATTAATTCAATTAAATATATTACTTCCTAATGGTCCAAAATTATTATTTGAATACACATCTTATACTATATCGTTCAACTGTTACAGTTTAAAAAAAGGAATTGTAAATTGGCTTTCCTGTGAGGAATATGTGCCTAACGACAACTATGAATATTTTGTTGAATATGATAAATTAGGGGATACAGCTCAAGTAATTAAATATTCATTAATTGCAATGATATTAAGAACGGGCGAACAAATTAAGTGTGCGCATATAGATGATATCAGAATCGTAGAGACCCGAACAGAAGTTCTTTATAAAAACTCTACTATTACTTTCTTAGATCTTTCTTTTAGTAAGTTTAATTTTGAAGATATAAGAACATTATCAGATGCTCTTTGTATAAATGATTGTATAACTTCTTTAAAACTATATTCTTGTGGACTTGATTCTAAAGATGCAGAATTGTTGGCAGATGCGCTTTGTAAAAACACAATTCTATGTTCCCTAGATGTTTCTAGCAATTATCTTTATGATGAAGGGGTAAAATCATTAGCAGAAGCCCTTTATAAAAAAAATACTACACTGACCCATCTTAGCCTTAGTTATTGTCATTTCGGTTTTGAAGGTGTGAAAGCACTTTCAAATGCATTTTCTAAAAATGTTTCTCTGAATTCCTTGGATATTGACTGTAATAAACTTGGCGTTAATGAAGGCAAATTATTGGCAGAAATTCTTCGTAAAAATACTACTTTAAGATCATTAAATCTTTTTAGCAATGACTTAGGTTTTGAAGGAGTTAAAGCAATATTAGAAGCTCTTTTCGTGAATTCTGGTTTAAATTCTTTAAACATTGGATATAATAATATTAATTTGGAAGGAATAAAACTTATAGCGGAAGCACTTTGTAAAAATACTGGTTTAACTTCTTTATATCTTCATTCAAATCGAATTAACTTTCAAGAAGATAATTCATTGGCAGAAGCACTCTGTAAAAATACAACTCTAAGATATTTATGTCTATATAATAATCAGCTTGGTTCTAAGGGAGTAGAAATACTTGCAGAAGCTCTTTGCAATAATGTTAAATTATCTTCATTGGATCTTAGCAAAAATCAAATTAATTTTGACGGATTAAAAGCATTATCAGCAGTTCTTTATAAAAATACTATTCTGACAACCTTAGATATTAGCTGTAATAGGTATGTATTTTTAAGAAGGTTATTATATTCATTTTTGCAAATATCACTTTAACTTAAATCTTTCTATCATAGTCCTGGTTTCGAAGGAATAAAATTATTAGCAGATGCTCTTTGCAAAAATACCACTTTAATTGATTTAAACCTTATTAGTAATAATCTTACTTTTAACGAAGGGAAAATATTAGCAGAGATACTCTGCAAAAACACTGCTTTAATTCGTTTAAATCTATCTAATAATCAACTTGGTTATGATGGAGTAGAAATATTAGTAAAAGCACTTTATATAAATACTACATTAATTCATTTAAATGTTTCTAATAATCAACTTAGCTCTAAAGAATGCCAAATATTGGCAAAATTTGCTTACAAAAATAATACTAGAATTTTATTAAAATTTAAAATTTAAATTTCGAACCTTATATTTAATTAATACGACTGAAATATTATATTTATTATTAAATAAAGTATATAGTTTATATTTACATAATTATTAGGAATGGTAAAGGATCATTTTTCACCGATTTAAATCATGTAATAATTATAATCTTTATATGCTGAGGTTTAAATTTAATATAAAAGAATCATAATCATCGCAGAATTTAAATTGGTAAAAAATAAGTATGGCATTTGAAACTAAAGACATTCAAATATTATTTATAGATTTATTTTTCAATGATAAATTAATATTAATTAATATATTTCAATCTAAATACAACCTATTTTTAACAAGCATCATTGCTATTTTTAAAGTGTATATGTGGATTTTGTCAATTTTGATAATTAAAATAAATAATATTAATTATTTTTGTTAATTTTTTTATAAAATTTTTAGGAGAAAGCAACAAAACTTTACAAACAAACTTAAACTTAATTCAAACTATACAGACCTTGTACATTCAATTGCATTATATACTTTATTAGAATTTTTTAAATTTCTATCTTGCTTTATTATAAGACTCACTTTCTTTTATATTTTATACTAACTTATCTTTTATTAAACTGCAACAAATTATAAACCAAAGCATCTAATATTTTAACTTTATTTTTATATTGTTAGATTCATTACCAATATCAAAAAATATAGATATTCAATAAACATTAAATTACTATAAATACATAAAAATACTATTACTGAAACTTATTTATTTATTTTTTTTGGTATTAAGATGAGGTCTTGCTTATTTTTATTAATAATTTAAAATAGTTACATGTATATGTTATATGTTATTTCTTAATTTACATTAATCATTAATTGATATCTATAATTTTTCAATTTCTACTGATTGATAAATAACTCAGATCAATAATCAATGCAGATCATATTATATGTATAATTAATAATAGCTTATTAAATTAAATATTATAATTAAATCAATAATAGCTTATTAAATTGATACCAATAATGATAAATAAATAAATTTTGAAAAATAATTCTTTTAAGTAATTTTTTTATCATTATTTATTTTTTTTCTCTTTCTACTAATAAATCTACAAAGTTATTCTTTTTTGACCTGTATGACCTTTAATTGAATATTGGAAACATACACAAATTAGAGAAAAAACAAGCATAGTTTAATAAATAGAAAATGCTATAATGAATGTTTTAATATATTAAAAAATCCAGATATTTAATATAATATTACATTTAAACATTGACTATTAATATCTTTAAAATTCAGCTTATTGGTACTATGAAAGAACTTCAAATACATAAACAAGACAGAAATAATTTGAAAACTTAAATATATATAGTTGAAAATTTTTATAAAGTAATTTGTGGTGCTTATTAAGCAACTGAACATAGAAGTTAAGAGAAGACCTAGAAAAAGATATAAAAAAAAAGAAAAAAAATATATATAAATAAAAATAAATTTTTTTATTTAATAATAAATAGATCTGTATTTAGTATTGCTATATTCTCTGCAACTAGTAGAAGATTTAGTTAATGAATGTAATATATGTATTATTTGAAGAACTTTAAAAAGAATTCCACCAATGCATTTAATCATTTCTGAAAGCTTTCTAAATTATATTCAAGCAAGTGAAAAATTTATTAGTAAAAAAAATAATAAATTATTATTAATTTATATGTTATAGTTCAATACTATTAATATGATAGCAATTTCTAATTAAGGATACAAGTCTATATTTCATGTTAGAGATCACTTTTCTTGTTTTTTATATACTAAACTAGTACAGTTCAAATCAGCTAAAAAAGCTGCCATGTCCTTTTTTGACTTTTACTTTATTTATAGTCCTCTGACAATTCTTCATACTAACAATAAAGGTGAGTTTGTTAAAAATACTTTTAAAGATATACTAAGTTTCTGATTAACAATTAAAATAGTTTATAGACAGCTAAGAAATTTGTAATGTCAAGGACTTATAGAAAAAAGGAATGCTATATTACAAATGAAGTTAGATGCATGAATAGAGAAAACAGTTAGATCAGATCAGAGTATTAGTCTTAAATTTGTAATATATAGGTTTTTTTTTTATATATTGATTTATATATTATTATAATTTTAGTAATAATAATTTAATTATGCAGAAACTATAAATAACTAGTATTGCTTAGCTTACAAGACAACACTTTACAATTTAGTATTCAGTTAATTGTCCTATAATGATCATAATACAGCAATAATTTTATAAGAAAATAATAATGATAATTATGGTAATGGAGAGTTGAATCCAAAAATTAATACAGTTAGAGATTTTTCCAAATTTGAGTTAGTATAATAAAAATATTCTGGAATTTAGAAAATTATTAATAATCTATAAAATAAATTTTGATTGGCTATTTTTACAAAATATTGGTTTAAATTGACATAATTTTTTTTGATAAGAAGTTTCTTTAAAATTTATTAAAATTATCAAAATAGGTATTTAAAGTTCTAATGATTTAAAATTTACAAAAATTATAGTTGAATCTACTCATATTTCTAAGTTATGCAAGCTTAAAAAATAAGTATTTAATTAACTATTTAAGATGGTTTAAGATTTAAATTTTACTTTTTTTGAATATATTTTGTTTGTATTAATATAGTTGATGAGTATAGTTTAGTGTAAATATTAATTATCAGAGCCATTGGTCCAGTTTTTTTTAATAGCTAGTCTTAATACTATGAAAGAAGATGAAAAAAAAGAAAATGTATAATGCTAATAGTATTACTTACAAGTGAAACCACCAGTAAAGAAAAAGAAAGATGCATAAGAAAGATATCCAAACTTACCATTAAAGATAGATTATAGACAGTGAGAACTTACCAATCTGTTAAGCCTTTAAACTTGGATTTTAAGATAAGAATCTAAGAGAAGTAAAAATAAACAATTAAGGTTAAATTAAAAAATAAAACAATCAGTTAAAAGAATCTAATTATGTACTTATCTTATTTTCTAATTGGAGATCACAATCTAAAATATTAATAATGCTAGATAAGTAATTTTTATTATAGTAACTAATATAAGAAAAAATTCTTATTTACTACTACAATATCTTAATTTATTTTTATTAATAGATATACAGAGAATATCTTAGTAATTATCTTTGTTATTCAATATAAGAATTCAAATTTTAAGGCTTCACTTTAGTCTTAATAAGTGTTACCTTTATGAGCATACAAATGTTTAAAATATAGCATAAAAGATTTGATTTAATATATATTTTATATCATAAGAATGTATTTATATTCTAGTATTCAAGATTTAAATTGCTTAGATAAGTAATTCTTTTAATTTATCTATTTTATACAATATTATATTTTACTATATTAAATAAATAATAACAAGAAACAAATTTAGTTTCTGCATTAAACAATATTAGTAAGTGTTACAGATCATAATAAAATTAGATTAAAATAAAATAAGAGATTTCTATTTGATCTTCTAAAATCTAACTATACTTGTTTATTATAAATTCTACTTCTAAACACTAATTCTTTAAAAAATATACCTTAAAAATTTATGTTTTTTGGTAGTTTGTTTATTTTGACACTATTACTTATTTCATTTTAATCTGATTTCATTTTAATCTGATTTCATTTTAATCTGATTTCATTTTAATCTATTACAGTAATTACTATTTAGTAACTATGATCTTGCTTAATGAAAGGATTTCTAATATTAATAATAAGGATCTAATCAAAAATTAGTATAGTGATAACAATATAGTAGTAAGAATTCATTATAACTATGCAATAATATAATTTTATTAACTTCTTAATTTTTATTAATATGCTCATTAATAATATTTTCTTCATTTATAGTTTCTTCAGCACTATTTAAGTCTCATATTTCTTGTAATATTGTTAGAAGCCTAGCCTTTGTTTTGTTATTTAAATTAGTATATTTCATATATTGTAAATTAAAAGTATAATAAGTATTAAATTAATAATTGCAATAAGTTTTTTTTTCATTGTATTTTTATTTTTCATTAATCAACCTCCTGTTCTGTTACTAGAATCAGGTGTCAGACATTAGTACCAGATGGCTATAATAAGGTATTTTGAATAAACATTTCCTTTTTTCTTATACAAGTGCACTAAATAATTTTATTTTCTTATTTAAGTTAATGTCTTTATCTAAATTAGTTAATATACTGTTCATTTTTTTTAAATTAAAAAACTGTTCTTTCTTAAATATGTATGAAAGTATTGTTGTTTCATATAAAAATCAGGTTGAGCATGTTGTCCTAAACTTTCATTATTCTCATATCTAATAACATTAAACAGATTGGTATACAACTAAATTTTTTGTTAAACATTATATTAAAATTAATTTAATTTAAATATATATGCATACTATATATAAATTAGAACTTGCTAAACTTAAAATTTAACATTTCTGATTTATAATTAGGTTATCTGGCTTTAAGGTTCTTAACTGATTACTTAGCTCAAAATATATATAATTAATATATCAGAATTATTATAAAATACTAACTTATTGATTCTTCTATAATTGGTATCCATAGACAGTTTAAAATTACAATTTGATTATGTTTATATACTATATATATTATATCAAAAAATAGTATTCTTATATGTTTTTAGAGAACATCTAGTTGATGTAATATATTAAAAATAACAAAATTAAATGAAAATATATAGCAAGTCCTTGTATATCTGAATATATCAGTTAGCACTTTATGGTATGCAAATATATTTACAAAATTTAAAAGATTTGGCATATTAAATAGTATGATTCAAATAGCAATTTGTGTAATATTTGAATCACAATTTGAATAATATTCACATTATACCATTTAATATATCAAATCTTTTAAATTTACTAGTAATATTAATATTATATGCTTATCCTTAAGCTTCCTAAAGTTGAATAGCCTAATTCTGAATTAGAATAGTTGAATTTTTTTTTAAAATAAACAAATTTTTTGCATTATCTTTGTAAAATTTGTATAATTTCTGGCAGCAATTTCTTAATAATATTGTGATGATACTGGAGAAATTAATGACTTTAATGCTTTATTGATTTCTTCTACAATAGTGTCAAGTCCCTGATGTTGATTATAAAGCTCAGAATAGATACAACTAAGAAATTTTTAATAATTTCATGAATATGAGGCTTTAAATATAATAATTTTCTTTATATAATATTTAGAGCATTCTGTAAATTGAATAACATCTAGATGACCAAATTGGTGCAAATTAATATCTAGCTGTATTATATAATAATGGTTAATTAGTTTGAACTCTAGTACGAAAGTCTATAATAGTCTGAAAATAAGTAAAAGTCTATTATCATCATATTATTAATTATATTTATTTTTATATTACAATTAAAATTAAAATAATATTTAAAATATGCAAATCATTAACTCTTTCTGACGATCACTTGTACCAA